CAAAGTCGTTAATGTAATAATATTAATGGTTTCCCCTTGAGGTTGAGGATACTACCATCCGAGCAGGGACTTTTTAGGGGGTAAATTAAAGACCCTAGAACTGAATTTAGACCCTGGTCCCTTCGGTGGAAATGTAGTGAGTTCCTCCAAATGGTCCTAGTTCCGGGGTATAGTTCTTTTGGTAAAAACGCGGCTTTGGTTTCCACTCAAAGTACATGGGACTTTTAGAACCAGGATCTACTTTTCAAGGAACTAAAAGGTTCCTTCAGCCCATTATTGTGTCTAAAGTCTAAAGATCTGTGAAGATCAGGCAAATTAACCAGCTGAGGTATAGGCCTACGCCATACAAAGCGATGGATAGGCATCATTATTTAGTAACCACAATCCATGAGCAAAATGTATATATCAACATCAGATTTGATTGGAATATAATGAAAAACTATAGGCTATGCTTGACCACTAAAAATAGCATTTTTTTTGTGTGGGAGTATAATGAAGAGACAAACGATTAAAGTTGGTTACAAATTTAATAACATACTGGATAAAGCCATCGGCTGTGTTCGAAACGGGCTAAACTGCTGTCTCAGAAGGTGACAGCGAGGCATCGAGTGCTGTTCGAAACGGCTCAAACGATCTCTTCCTGTCTCCTGAGATGCCTTCAAGCTGCCCCAGTAACGGACAGTTTTGAAGGCAGCATCAATGGTGACTACGCCTACACATGCGCACTGACGACCCAGGGTTAGGGTTACAATTTTGGATTTATTTACACACATTTGTTGAAAGTTTTATTCTTTTTACATGTTTATTTACCACATTAAATGTTGAAATGTGTATTGTAATAGACTGTATATTAACTTATTGGGAGAAAACTGTTAGTTCTATGTAAAATCAGACATTGAGCACCCCCATATCGCCAAAATGGCATGATCCTTGTTTTGCTGCGAAGCTTCGACTGTGAGATTGACAGGCCCCGCCCATCGAAGCATCAAATCTTAGACTATTCGGGGTTAGCCCTAAAAGAAACACAAACAGTTCAGAAGGTCATTAAAACATTTCAAGAGTAGCAGATGAGCGGGGAAACACCCATGTCTGTGTTTTTGACCCTGGTACCTGTGGTGGTAACGCAGTTGGTTCCTGCAGTGGAAATGCGATTATATTATTTTTCAATTTAAAAAACAGCCTTTTACTGTAATCACCTCAGATTTTGGGAAGATACCTTTATATTTTTTGGGTCTGTCTATCTTGGTGTCCTTTCTTTGGCCTTTGTCTGGAGAGCACTCTATAACTCCTGCCACATATATAATGTTTGCCTACTTACTGACTTCCTTATACCTTGTTTGCAAGGTGCTGAAAGAAGCACCTTACAGGTGTCATCTCACAAAGCTGCTGTGAAGGCGGTCATTGTCTAAGGCAACAATGCGGATCCTGCCCTGCTCTCAACAGTCCGACTCACAGATCTGATTAATACTGTTTAAACACAGGCGGTTGCACTGCAGAGGAGGGACGACTAAAGCCCCCTGACTCTGGAATGTGGAGGGATTGGAGCGTCTTTGCCCTGAAGGTTTAATACCAGTCTGGGGCAGGACCAGTGGTCAGTTTGTTAGCCCAGCCCAGGGTGACATTATCTCTTTAACGCCCTCTGGCTCTGAATAACAAGCCATACAGTTAAACTCACTGGTGGTGACCTACTAGAACATAGTGCAGTTAGCCACACCTACATTTACACCACACCTCCAAACACACAGAATTTACCATAACAATCAGCTCTGTTTCTAACCAGTTTTCCGTGTATATGACAATGCAGCTTCATCTGCAGAGAAAGACAGCCGGGTGGTGCAGAGCTGGCTGCTGTTGTAGCCTCACAGTAGAGGAGGCCACAGTGCTTGGCATTGTTTCATTCTAGGACTGTTTGAAAGAATGCAAATGACTCTGAAACCTGCCTGAGGCTGTATCATGAATTACATAAACAGTACATATCTAAAAGATCCTGTATGTGTTGCCTCTGTTCAGTTTACGTGTTTGCTCTGTTGTTCAAGTTTATATTTAAATAACCGTGAAATGCCTTAGGTAACACTGACTTGTGTTTGCTTTGGGGTGCATGAGAATTTTTATGGATGTTATTAGATGATGATAAAAAGTATTAAGATCACATATTCTAATGACAAGGAACACAGGTTTTTAAAGTGGGAGACGGGGCCAAAAAGTTTCAGGGGAGGCTCAGTGGATGAAATCGAAAGAAATATACATTAATCATTGAAGGAGATCACATAGCATAATGTGTTGGATTTGGTTAAAGAGATAGTTCAGAGATACAGCAGTTTGGGGGATTTTTACTGTTTTTCCGACTTTCCCAGAATCAGAAACTAATAAATGCCTCAGGACAGACCCGTTTTATGTATTTGGTGTAGTGTGAAGTTACGTCAAACAGCAATATTAGGCTATCTTGCCTCAGAGAGTCTACGTGATCCTATAACATAACCATGATCCCATAGGCATCCAGGAATTGAGCGAAACTAAGCAACTCAGGTGGGAGGGTTGTGCCTTTTCCCAGGCTTTGTTTGGGGGGAAGCCCTTTGAAAATCCCTGGTTTATGGCATTAAATGGTAAAGGATTTAATAGACATGAGGGCTTAAAACAGTTCTGTATTCATGCCAGTATGATTGAAATACCACAGGTTTGATTCTGTATTTTCAACTCCTCAATTTGATCCTGAAGTCAACATTGAATTAATTCTGTTAAGCACTGACTGTGGATTTTTTTTATTTTATTATATACCTTTGGGCAAAAACAGCTCCTGTGTGTAGACTTGTGGGACATTTACAGGGTAGTTCATTACTTGACTAAGCTGACGTGTCCCTTCGCTGCTTTCTTTCCTCTCTCGTGCTTACTTTCTCCATGCCTCATTCTAAACAATTACTCTTTGCGGCTAATTTTCCTCTTTGTTGTGTGCATTTCATATGGAGATTAGCTAGCTGTGCCATTCAGCCCAAACCTGCTCTGGTGAGACAGCTCCGCATTTCCTGACTTCTTATTACTGAGGCTGACTCGAAATAACCTTTTAAAAAGTAAAGCAAGTGGATTATTCTAGACACAGATGGTGCTTGGGGGTTATGATGCATGCCTGTAATTTCTAAACAGTTAATTTAGCCAGTGGTTAAAATTCTAAATGACAAAATATTATATTTGATGAACAACCATTGATTGGATTCCCTTCCACTCAGACTTACATAAGTAAAACCACATTTTAAAAGTGGGAACTTCAATGAATGTGCTGTCACCAACTACAACTGACCTCTTAACACCTTTTAATTGAAATGCCCAGCGCTCCAGCTGGTAAACCAAAACAATATCCCGAAAGACACTAAAATGCTCTGCAGAGCTGAGGGAAACTACAGAATAGGGTGATACTTTGTGGCTTCAGCACCAGTGACACCTTTCACATTCCACATTTGATCCATTATAAATATATTTATTAGTGCAGCCTATGAAATCTATTTAAGAATACATGTGCTGTCATATGCACAGTGTCTGGATATTTAACACTCATTAAATAAAAATTTCAGTCACACTAATTCATTCTACACTTGCCATTTAAGAACAAGCCTGTTACTGAAATGGAAAACATTTAAGGAAATGTGTCTCAGTGAACCATTATTAGCTTGTCAGGCTGCTGTCAGGCTGTATCAGGAGGTACAGCTTATCATGCACTGCAGAGAAAGTTTCTGCAGTGTCTGAGTCAACCATGCAAAAACCAGAGTCATCCATTCAGCTCTAAAAAAAGATTCAACAATCCTATTTTTAAAGTTGTTTTGAGATGCCCATGAAAAGCTGTGCATGCCTTTGCACTGCCCATTACAACTGCTTAATGTAAACCTTCCTCTGCTTTGTCCCTGACTTACACCATCAGGAATTTCTGTAATAACCACATTTCAAAATTTAATTTATTAGTCAGTAATTTAGCCACATTAACCCTAGAATGTATGAGAGGTCAACAGCAGTCCAAACGATCACTCAAATTTGTATTTTGATCCACTCAGAGACTGCTTGCTGCTGCAATTAAGTGCAAGCAAATGCATTTGCAAAGTAAAACAAGATTAGCTATCTCTAGCGAGGCTGGGCTCTCATGGTTAATGGTCTGCTTACACCTCCTGTGAACCTGCCACGCTTCCAAGCATGCACACAGCAAAATATTTAACATCAGGGCTAATGTTACTGGTGCTGATTGACTTTCTCCCGCACACACCATATTATCACAGAGGCCTTCAAAAGATTTTAATGGGAGTTTTGCATCTTTCATCCCATTAGCTTTAAATCATGTTTGCTTTACATTCCAGAGCAAACCATAAGTTTGCAGATTGATTTCCTATCTTCCAGCCAGTCATTATTTTCTGTTCATTTCTGTGCACAGTTAAAATCTTACAGAGATTTGAAACTTGTTCTAGACAGGTAATCTATCATTGTGAACCACTTGCTTCCTCTGATTTTGTCAATGATGTTTGCATTATGTGGTTCTAAACACTTTTAGTATTGAAAAATTGCCATTGGTGTGTTTACTCCAACACTCACACTGACATCTGACATTTGACATGTTAACAATTTGTGAATTAATTGGTTAGTAGATCGAAAATCAGTTGACCACCATTTTGATAATCAATTAATCTCGTTCATTTTTCAAGCAGAAAAGCCAGACATTTGCTGTCCAGCGTTTTCAGTGTGAGGATTTAAAGCTTTTTAGCCGTGCTTGGTGGGTTTAGAGATAGCATTGTCAGTCAGTCGGTGGGTCCATCACTTTGGTCTAGACTAAAATATTTCAACAACTATTGGATAACTTGCCATGAAATGTCCTTGTGTTGGCACTATGTAACATCTATGGCGAGAGGAATGAAGAAGATGTCGGAGGAAGCGAGGAAGAGAAAAAGAGAGTGACCAAGCAAGAGATGGGACAAGAGTAAATATTTACTTGGTGTGAGCTAAAAGAGCTGAAAGGATGCAGGACAGATTCTAAACTGGCCTTCTTGCTGTTGGACAAGTAAATTACTTTTTAGCTGGCTTGTTATGTCTTGTGTTGTTGAGCTTGCTTGATGTTTGCCAGTGTTAGCAAAGTTGTCGACTTGAGCAAAATCAGGATTCACAGACAGAGGTTTAGCCACCAGCTATAAATCATAAACTTACTACATAACGCACTCAGACATCGGTAATGCAGCCAGACAAGTTTCATGCAACATTATACTGCTGCTGGTGGAAAGCGGCGCTGGTGTCATGCAGGCCGAGCGGGCCCAGCAGCCTCTGTAGACATAATGTTAGCTACTGGCAGAGGTGAAGAAACCAAAGAGGACGTTTATGGAGGTAGCTAAGAAGAGAAAAAAGAGAAAGACCAAGCAAGAGGCTCTGGAAGTTGGCGAGAGCTTCGTGTAATAAAAGGCTGCAAGACAGACGGTGAGCTGGCATTCTTTCTGTGTACACAGTTGAACTAGTAAGTAATACTGCTATGTCTTGTGTTGTCGCACTTGCTTGATGTTTGGGTTGACTTTCTAGTTTTTGTAATGTAATGTCTAGTAATATAATCAAAACATATCCATGTCATTGTAAGCATGTTAGCATGCTAGCAGTAGCAGCCTGTTTAGCTCAAGCTGATTTACAGCCTGTCTTATGTGAGTGTACACTGATTTTTTGGGGTTTGGACTGTTGGTTGGACAAACAAGCATTTTAAGATCATCACTTTTGACTTCAGTAGATTAATTCCTATGTAAAATAGCCCTAATCATTGGTTGCAGACCTATGCTGAATATCATATATGCTGAACAAATTCACATCATATTCTAGTCATATTCAGAATTGATTTGAACAGCACATAGCTTATCATTGCAGTTTTTCCCTGCAGATGATTATCAGACATAAACTCTCAGACTGAGACTATCAGTTCCCATTTTAGGATAAATGGAAAACAAAAATTTCCTGAAAATTAGTAAAAACAAATTCAGACATCCAAAACACGCTTTGGAAAATGGTCAGTAGTAATCCAAACTACACACCACAATAAGTGACCTTTAAAATTCAATAATACAAGTATTTTCCTTTAAATGCGTGTCACACTGAAGTGGTCCCCACTATTGCATTTTGTTTTCTTTGTATTGCAGTGCATAGGGGATACAGGTGAGAGGTAATGCAATTACTCTCCGATGTCAACCCTGTTTTCACGTCGGGTGTGTGTATGTATTGATAATGAGTAGGGCTGCCTTGATCCATCTCTAATTAGACAACCTCTTAAAATCTCCTTCTCTGTGTATCCCGGTGTCCCTTTTCTACAGAAACAAGTCACATTTCATTCATCTTCCAGCAGCCTTAGCAACTGCCATGAGGACAACAAACCATAAATCTTCTCTGATACGTGGACAGCATAATGGCCTGTTCACATTCCTAAAAAACACCTGTGGATGCCTCTTGTGTGTGGTCTTTTGCAAAATACCAACGGGAATCCTCAATCTGTATTATATGTCCTTTCACTCATAGAGTGAAAATAGTACTTGATATATACTGTGTAAATGTATGTTATGTACTACAGTTCCTGCAGCAGGTTTAAACATCAAACATAGCTTAGAGCAATTTCCTTTTTTCTTAAATCTGCTTTCTACTCGCTCAACATCGTATCACTCATTAGAAATGCATAATTGTTTTCAGAGTTTTGGCTATCAGTGACGTTGGTTATGAGCGAAACATTTCACACCAGCTTTATTGCTGATCGGAGGGTGTGTAACATCACTATAGAAGATTAGACAAGTTGAAAACCCATCCCCAGTCTTATATTATGCTTAAAGGGGCTCCAATTTTACACATCAAGATCAGTTTACTTATCATGGGCAGAATACAACCCTTGAATTATTAGAGAGAGCTTTGAACAGCTTTCTAAAGAGTCTAATGAAAGATGCTACATTGCATTAACTGTTTTTGGAACCTGACCTGTACTAGGAACTAAAAGTCAGTTTATCTCGGCTATAAATTCTTACCATTTTTGACCATCTATGCCCCAACTTTATGGAAGTGCCAGACTAAATCTCTCCAAGAAATTACTTTTATATTCAACTCATTTGCAAGAGCATATATGTTTTGAGAGGCTTTTATCACACAGAAGTGGGTGTGGTTTCGTGTAAAGTTGGTTGGAAAAATGATGCATGAAATCTGACTTATTATCTTAAACGTATTTTTTGAATGTAATACACGGTTGAAACAGACGCTCCCGGTGGGCTTACCTTCATTTTTAGTAATTTTGCTTTTTGCAAAAGTCTGGGTTGTAGTGACAAATGTTGTCAGAATGTCATGATTAGTGTTTCTTGTCCCACCTGACCTTATTGTAGTGTTAACGCTGTCTGCCAATAACACGTTACTGAGTGAAATGTTATTGTGACCTTGTAAGAATCATGGACAAGACAAACAAAACACAAGTTCCTTGATGTGATATTATCTCCAGTAAACAATCCCCAGGGTAGTATTTCTACTTGGAGGGGCGGTTTAACTACTGAAGCCCTCACATGGCCTTCTGGCACTTTTTTTTCCTCCAAACAAACTTGCAGACACCGGCCACATTCCTCTTACAGAGGTCAGAGGTCGGCTCCCCAGCCTTCCCTGAATCCTGACAGCCAGTACCCTCTCCAATTCAGTGAGGAGACCTCTATTTCCAGAGACTTTAGAGCAACAATGATGTGATTGTGAGCAAGTCCATCAAATTTCCTGAGTAATGAATCACCATCCACTGCTTCCACATTCATCTCTCACTCACTCACTCACTTGTGATGAGTCAACTGCAAACAACACATCTTATAAAAAATGAACACTATCAGCCCGAGGTTAACCTTCAAGCATACTGAAACTATTGTATTTAATATTTAATCTTATTTCTTTTACTTTATTGAGGTGATCTGATGTTTTTTGTCTTGCTCTTTGAGGAAATATTAATGAACAAATAAAAAAAACAACAACAATTAAAGGGCTGATTTGTTTCCACCCGAACCCTGACGTTGCTCAGCAAAACATGCACCGAAACCAATTTTTCATCTAATAAGGAAATGTCTGCGATGACACATTCATCCTGTTCTTGCTCATTTACATCTTATGACTTTATAAAAAAAGTGGAACTTCTTTAAGCATTTGCTCCTGCAAATCAGCCGAGAATTAAAGGGCTGAGAGCTGGCTTTGCATTTTGATTCTCTGACAGAGAGCCCAATTAAAATCACTGGTGTTGTCCAAGGCTGCAGGGCACAGACAGACTGACACCCTCACTAGAAACAGCCCACTCAGGTGGATATAAAGCAACAGCCTTTATAGCAAAATTACTCCTCTCATGTATAATCAGTCTGTGATGTTTAATGCTTTCTAGGAGGTCATTTGTGATCCAGAGCTATAATTTATGTTTGCTGTTTTCCTCTAACCTCTGCCTCCCTCTCCTATTTTAGCCTCAGTTAATGTTTTTCCATTTTCAGAATTATTTTCAACATTCCCCACAGTAGTTGCCCTGACTTGTTGCACGCACACTCACATTATGTCGACTGCGAACAATAACAACAGCAGGAGAACTAGTTTTTCCAGTTGAGAAAAAAACACAAGTCAGCCATCCTTTTACAAAACACATTACGGCTTGTGGCTGCGGTGTATCCAGTTACAAAGAATACAGCCTGCAAATTACAGTGTCAATATTTTGTATATCCTGGTGTATGTTTTACAGGACAAATATGTATGTAGAACAGGACATGACGGCAAGTTAGGGAATAAGTAGGTAACAATTCTGTTTTTAAGAGGGACTTACTAAATAAATAGTACACATAAAATAGTATAAAAATTCTACCTATTTTATAATTACAGAGCACATTGTTACTGGGTTAGAAGATGAAAACATGTCTAGGCTACAGAGTGTATCTGATTGTTTGGCTGTTTGTCGCTGCATTCCTAGTTTATGATGGTTCAACTTTTTGCCCATGCAGTTCACTGTGTGACCATGGCAACCACAGAAACTACAGTGAATGGAAATAATACAGGTTTTTTAGGTGTCTGAGTTCCCTAAATGATTTACCTCTTCACCAGCAGTGACAGACATACCAAGAAGAACTGAAACAACATCAGCTGTGATTATCCGGGCCAGGACAATAACAACAGTTATGCTAGTTTGCAGAACTTGCTGAGTTATATTAATTGCGTCATATTATCCATTTCCTATATTTTAAAATACAACCCGCTCTCTTTAGCTGCGTGACAGTTAGTGCTGGCTGCAGCATTGGAGGCAACCACTTGCTGTCTGAAAGCACCAGTTGTTAAGCAGAGGTGGAGGAAGTATTCAGATCCTTTACTAAAGTAAAATTAATAATACCACACTGTAAAAAAAATTCCATTACTATTAAAAGTCCATTGAAAATGTTAATTAATTAAAAGTATGTACGTATTATCAGGAAAATCTACTTAGAGTATTAAAAGTAAAACTACTCAATGAAGAAAATATTATCTTAAATGATCATAAATCATAAGATTATTATTACTCATGCATTAATGTTAAAACAGCTCATTTTTAACCATTTTTATAGAACTGCAACTGATGATCATTTTCATTATGGATTAATCTGCCTATTATTTTCTCCATTAATCAATGGACTGTTCAGAAATTCAGAAAGTAGTGATAAATGTTGTCACAATCACCCAGATCCCAGCGCAACACCTTAACAATGTTTGCTTCGTCCAACTAACAGTCTAAACCTTTAAATTATTAAAAAGGAAAATCAGCAAATCCTCACTTTTGAGAAGTTGAAATGTTTTTGCATGAAAAATCAATCAACGATTATCAAAATATTTTCCAGGTAATTTTCTGTCAAGTGATTAATCGGCTAAATTGTTTCAGCTGTTCTTAATTTTTATATGGTTTGTGTGCAAAAATCACAAGTTCCCTCTGAATTGTAGTGGAGTAGAAGTAAAAAGTGGCATGAGAAGAAAATACTCTTACTTCACTCGTACTAGTGAAGTACAAGCACCTAAAATTTGTATGTAAGTACAGTACTTGAGTAAATGTACAGTTACATTCATCCACTGTGTTTTAAGTCATTTACCAAGACTGAATCTACAGCTGTGGTTCTCAACCTTTTTTCGGCCTGCCCCCCTGTCCATTATCCAGGGCCCTTACCTCCCCCCATCAAAAAAGATGTTGGCTATTTGCCCTGAATATTGTTGATTATTATTGTTGTTGTTGTTGTTACCATTGTTATTAAAAACACACAACACACAAGTGAATAACAAACAACGCTTTTATGACTTTCCCAGGGAACAAAAAAGCCATGTCAATAGTAATTATATTTAATTAATAAGTGAATGTTGCTCTCGGAAACTTTTTGTAAACACAGACACCGTTTTCTTGGATGGTGCACTTAATAAGTAGGGGTCAGGGGGTCCTCCCCCAGAAGATTTTGAGCATTAAAGACTGGAAACAAATTTCAGCATCAGTTTATGGTGGAAATGTTTTATTATATGAAAGGAAACACAAAATTCAGGACGTTGACACTGAAAATATATCAGAATATAAAGCAGTAAGACTCTCAGGTATTCTTTATTGCTTTATAATATGTATCTCCTGTAGATCAACTTACTAAATATCATCCCTGCTGATTCAACACCATAGACTGTATATGATTTAGTCTTCCCTCCTCTTTGTGTCTTTTGTTTGGGGAAGTAACCTCTTTAAATGTGATTGGGCACCTTTTTACCTTAATGATAAATTAAATCATTTTAATTCAACTCCTGGACTTTAATAGGCTAGATTGTCTGTTTTAACAAGTTTTTCATGTATTTCAACAAGATAACTGCAGGATGAAATGGTAAATGGTTGACAGGTAGCCTAAGCAACACAGGCAGAGATCTCACCACAACTCCACACATGTTAACTTCAGCAGCTTGGATAAAATGCAGCGCACAGTCCCAAACAGAGAAAGAAGGCAACTCAGTTTTTAATGTTATATTTTTTAAAATTGAAACTCTACATGTGACGTTACCGCTTGGAAACAAACTCAATGCGATTCCGACAGCGGAATATCCCCCTGAATGTGAATGTGTAAACACGGAGATAGATAGGCATACACAGTGTAGAATATTCCTCAGAGAAATTAACTCTTTTAGGAGAAAGACATTTTTCCATGGTTATATCAAGAAAGAGAGTGTCCATTTTCCAGAATTTACACAGTAAACGCCATGTGGCTGAAATTTAGAGTAGTTACGATTCACACAGTCTCATCCAGTCGCAGTGGAGTAAACTGGCAGGTTTTAATGTTGCGGACAACAGTTTTTTGCAAGTACTTGAAAGTTTAAACTCATATTGTTGTGAATCTTTGGTGTAAACTCGCCATAAAACTTTCACCTCAACAAACGCCCCCCAAAAGCAGCTCAGCGCCCCCCTTTCCAAAATATTGCTTCCAGCATGAATATGTTCGCCAAACGTCACGGCAGTGCAACCAGTAGTTGTTAAGATATTTCAGTCTGGAGTAAACGGTGGACCAACCGACATTGCATGTTACCTTGCAGATATTGTAGTAAAACTAGATATGGTACAATTTATTTCAGAATGATTAACAGCACTTTATTAAATTATTATTATTATTATTGTTATTAATAGCGTGCATTATTGTTGTTACTGGGGTACACAAAACAGTAGGCTAA